GGGCTCTATGGTGGGCTCTGTGGTGGAGTGTGGGGGGTCTATGGCGGGCTGTGCGGGCTCTACGGTGGACTGTGCGGGCTCTACGGTGGGCTGTGCGGGCTCTATGGCGGACTGTGCGGGCTCTATGGCGGACTGTGCAGGTTCTATGGTGGGCTGTGCAGGCTCTATGGTGGACTGTGCGGGCTCTATGGTGGGCTGTGCGGGCTCTATGGTGGGCTTTGCGGGCTCTATGGTGGACTGTGCGGGCTCTGTGGTGGACTGTGCGGGCTCTATGGCGGGCTGTGCGGGCTCTATGGTGGACTGTGCGGGCTCTGTGGTGGACTGTGCGGGCTCTGTGGTGGGCTGTGCGGGCTCTATGGCGGGCTGTGCGGGCTCTATGGTGGGCTGTGCGGGCTCTATGGTGGGCTGTGCGGGCTCTATGGTGGGCTGTGCGGGCTCTATAGTGGACTGTGCGGGCTCTATGGCGGCTATACCAGGTCATCTATACCAGGTGATGAGAGTCCAGGGGGACCCTCATCACCTTGCTGCCCCCCATGCTGCCCATTGATCTGCAATTCTTAATGGGCACGGTGTGAACGAGCCCCCACTGCTGCAAGCTGCGGACGACCTTCTGAGAAAGCTGAAGCCAACGGATCAGCATGACAGCCAACATGACACGCTGGCTGCAGACCGCCGCAAACTCATCCCAGTCCTGCTCACCAGTCCGCTGTGTAGTCACTGCAGTGGACACAGGAGCAGATGCAATTTGTGGGCGGGGCCTCGGTCACCCAAATTCCTAATCATGTCACCTGTGACTGGGACAACCTAGTTCCCTAATAAGCGGCTGATCCGGTTACACAATCTCACCGATGTCCCGGGATGAAATCAATTCCTTCCTACGCACTGGTACAATAATGGTTTTATATTATCATCTCATTATATTATATATAGAATCGTCTTCTATTGTTACATTCATTCCATCCGATTATTAGAGGCGGAGCTAAACCTTGTACTAGAATGAAGAGGCCCTGTCACACCTATGTACATGAGGCACGACCACGAGTCACATGACCCCATTAGAGTTGTCACCACTTGTTCCATGCAATGACGCAGTGCTGCATTGCAAAGAAAAGTGGGTGTGTCTTATCTAAAGTGGGTGTGTCTCACAAGGTGTGGTTCAGCCATAATGAACATACCGAGATGAGATACCGAGAATGACACCCGGCATACAGGACAAGAGAAGTGGTACTGTGCAGAGTCCATACATACAGAATAGGAGGAGATACCGAGAATGACACCCGGCATACAGGACAAGAGAAGTGATACTATGCAGAGTCCATACATACAGAATAAGAACAGATATCGAGAATGACACCCGTCATACAGGACAAGAGAAGTGGTACTGTGCAGAGTCCATACATACAGAATAAGAACAGATACCGAGAATGACACCCGGCATACAGGACAAGAGAAGTGGTACTGTGCAGAGTCCATACATACAGAATAGGAACAGATACCGAGAATGACACCTGGCATACAGGACAGGAGAAGTGGTACTGTGCAGAGTCCATACATACAGAATAAGAACAGATACCGAGAATGACACCCGGCATACTGGACAAGAGAAGTGGTACTGTGCAGAGTCAGAAGAACAGATACTGAGAATTGCAGCCAGTGACAGTTGCCTGGCTCTCATCATTGGAGGCTCAGGTGTCTCGGTCGGTCCTGTGGGGCTGTAGATGTTCGGTGTCCCCGGGGCCTGGGACTTCCTCTGGGGACACCAATCTTAGTAACAGAATTGTTCCTCTCGCAGGCTGTGTCCTCCTATTGGGTCCATTACGTGTCCGCAGCTCCTGGAATGTTCCATCTCATCACTGGGGGAGGGGGAACCCCGAGAGGCTCATCCTGCAGCTTCATTGATGGACAAATCAACATTGCATCTTCTTATATTTCACCTTCTCTGGTTCCTCCCCTCCCCCCATAAACATGATAATGAGATTATGAAATAAAATATTTCCTTTACAGACTTTATTTTATACCTGGTGATATCATCACTGGTTCTCTGCGCTTCTCTGTGCAATGCAGACAGATGACGGCTGGAGGGAGGGGCCGGCAAGGTGCTGTACACATCTGTCTGGAAACATCCCAGCACCCTGTAGCACCCTGCCTCAGTACTGCTCTCTAGAGCCATTAGCCCTTGTCTCTATAAGAATACATGGGGGATCTACTGTACAGGATGTTCTGAGAGAGTGGAAGATCCCAGAGGAGGATGAAGACCCAGCGGGGGTATCGGAACCCGGCCTCCCTCCACCCAAAACACTCTTTAAACTCTTCTACCTGCCGGCCACCCGCTGGCCAATGCCACTCACACATAACGCATGGTATAGAAGGGTCCATAATAACACAGCGCCACACAGACCGGGGACTCTATGTTATTTAAAGGATGGATCCCCCCATGTCCTTTAAAGGAGGGATCCCCCCATGTCCTTTAAAGGAGGGATCCCCCCATGTCCTTTAAAGGAGGGATCCCCCCATGGTATTTAAAGGAGGCATCCCCCATGGTATTTAAAGGAGGAATCCCCTCATATCATTTAAAGTAGGGATCCCCCATGTAATTTAAAGAAGGGATTCCCCCCATTTTATTCAAAGGAGGGATTCCCTCATGCCATTTAAAGGAGACATTCCCCTGTGTCATTTGAAGGAGGGATCCCCCATGTCATTTGAAGGAGGGATCCCCCATGTTATTTAAAGGAGGGATGCCCATATTATTTAAAGGAGGGATCCCCCATGTCATTTAAAGGAGGGATCCCCCATGTCATTTAAATGAGTGATTC